ACAAATACATTGCTATTTGAATATGCCTCATGGCCAGATTTCAGGTAATTCACAGAGCTTCATGAGTCATCTCATTAATTCTCACACTATCACTGAGGTAGGGGTGAGAATAGCTCCAGTATAACAAGGCATTTATATAGATCTATACTGAATGCTGTGGTGATGGTGGTGATTACTGGACTCCAGTGCACACATTTTATGGGCCATTGGAAATCCACTCATTCAAAAATGTTATTAATTGAATTTTAATTAACATCATTTTATTTAAAATTAAGTTTGATGACTACTTTCTGATGAGTGGATAATTTAAATGAAATATTTAAATGACCAGGGCACTGAAATAGCACACTGCAATTTGTTTTTCCCATGTTATACATTTTGGGGCATGTTTTCAGAAATTTCTTTCACTGTGTTCATTTTATTTAGAATCCTGGCTGTAAATCTGTAATTCAATACAATAAGTATTTTGGTTAAAACAACACAGAATTTTTTTATTTTAGTTAATGATAAATTAGCTTATAGTTTATAAAAATTACGTGCATGCCAGCAAAGACCTTATTCATGTTTATTTGATTTTCAAAGAGTTGTAACTTAATTGACAGATAAACACATTGCTTAAACTGGTTGATTATGATTTAAAAAGTGTCCTTGAACTAGAGTATTTTAACATTAAATAGTAACTTTCTGGGGAAAAAATCCTCCATATTAAAACGTTTTGAGGGCACAGATATTTTAAAATAAAACATTTTCATTAGGCATTAAAATTCTACTTAGATTTTTTTTTTTAGGATAAGTATAGATGATTTAAAAAATAACCGGTAGACATCATTTCATTCATTTGAACCTGTGAACTTAGAACTTATAAAAATTGGAAAATAACTCTTTTGTTTCTGGCATGATAAGACAGAGAGAGAAACAACAACCATATTTCCACTAATATCCTCTCCAGCACAATGCCAGTAATTCTAGATCTTGTGTAATACCTCTGGTGACTGGAATCATTAATCCCATGTTTTGAAAATTATTTAAGATTGAAGTTGCCACAGTTGTACATATTGGTTCAGTCTCTAGAGCCCTAAGAAAAGATTTAGTGCATTTTCAAAAGAATTTTGCAGGTAGGAGCCCAAATGGATTTTCAACTAGGCCTCAACCTTTTTGAAACCTACTGATGTTGAATAGTCTTTTACCGGTTGCCATGCCAACTGATACCAGAGGAACACTCTGCAGTGTGTTCATCCCCTAGAAAGCTTCACCAGATGTCTTCAACAAATTGCTATGAAAAGACTTTGGTCTGTCAGCCTTGTTAGGAGATAAAAATCAGGCTAAGAGACGTCCCCGCCTCCACTTCTGATAAAACCAACCCATAAAATATGTAGACTTGTTCTACTCTCACAATAAACCAGTAAAATCTCTCACCCCCACCCCAACCCTCCTTACTTCCTGTAGCAGGATTTTTAAAATATTTATGCTCTTATTTCTACATGAAGCAGAGGCCATTATGTGTTGCAGCTGACATTGTCTGGCCGTGCTAAGCGAGAAGCATCTGGCTGGCAGCAAATAAAGACAGCAAGTTGATAAATTATTGATTTACATAAATCAACACCCTTTAAATATTGGTCTTTTGAAGAAAAAGCTTTTATGATTTTTCAGGTTGAAAAGTGTTAAGATGATAAATACAGAATCAGCTGCATCATGATTTTATATTTCTAATTAAACATATACAGACTTTGCATGAATATATAGTGCATGCCATAACTTTGGGAATAAAATAACCAAATTATTGGCAAATAATGGGCAAAAAGAAGTTTTTCTTTCAAACATGTTAAAATATTTTCCCACCTGAATATTCCTGTAATAATAATAAAATTTTTTAATTGAAAACAAAAAAATACTTAAAGGGTTGTTTTCTTTAAAAAGAGACTGGGAAAATAGGACCCACATGGAATATTATTTACATATACCAGTTGGCATCTGTATATTAAAATTGTAGGTTTGCATGTGCAAATGAATCATTAACTGTCAAATTACCTGTTTGCATATGCAGTTATTCCACACAGTATGAAAATGTGTGGAATTTGCATATACAATTGAGGCTTATGCATTTATGAAGACTGATTTTTAAATAGGAATTCAAAATCTTACTGCTAATTATCAAGACAAGGAATTACAAAATTGAATACAAAATGTATTTGGGACTACATTGTGTCCTGCAGTTCAAATTCAGTCCAGATAAAACACCTAAACTTAAATTTAATCATCGGTAATGTGCTATTTGTATTTCCAGGATATTGCCCTTTGTCATTGTGAGTGTTGTGTGTTGTGTGTGTATGATGTGTTTGTAAGTAAATGAGACTCTATCTGATATGTTTTTATATTTGACAAGTACAGATGGAATCTTTTTTTTTTTTTAAATATGAGATAAATCTCATAGTCATATCAATGTCTTACCAAATTTTCCAGGAATTCAATTATTTTGGTCTTAAATCATGTAACCGATGTAATTACCCTTTAATACCTACATTTTGTTGTGGAAGATCTACAGATTCAGATTGATTAGAATTCTTCTAAGGTTTCAAGGTGGACCAGAAGCACAGACATTAATGCCATGACTCTTCGTGGAACGACTAGAAAATCAGAGTTTTAAATTACATATATATGAACAGAATTTTTCAAGACGGAAAAGGAAATCTGGTCACAATGTTTACTTCATTTAGGAGGTGATTTTCACAGAGAGAAACTCTTTCCTCATTACTATAATGACTAACAAAAAGGAATTGGACAGAAAATACGCTACCTTATCTGTTGAATATAACACTATTTCTGCAAATTAAATAAAAATTTGGTCTTGTTTATGAATGCCTCTATATGAATATTAAAAACATCTCTCTTTTTAAAGTCAGATATTTTATGAGAGATTCTGCAAGCAATCTGGACAGGTAAAGAAACTGTGGAACTGAGAAATAAAGGAAGGCATACAATACAGACTGGATTATTAAGCAAACTATCTTTTGGTCAGTTGAAGAAGGTCTGAAAAGTGAAATAGAAAGCATGACTTAAGTTAACCATTTTTATAAATTGACTTATATTCCACATTCATCTTCTCTGACAATTGGAAGTAGAAGTTAGGTCAACATGCACTAAAATGGAAAGAAAGAAAAGACTCAAATGAATATACTAGTTTCCTCGATTCTTTTTATTCTATACATACAATTACCCTATTATTTTTTCAGGATTTAAAGAGGAAAAAGGATGAAGTAAAAAAGGATGTTGTATTTCCTAGGAAGTGAATGCTATTTTGCTTTCCATTTTTATAACATGCCTTTCATTTGCAAATTCTCTCTCTATTCAAGGGAGTTTAAGGAAGAAAGGTTATGACTGAACAGGCAAGTGATTCCCAGCAATGTGCTTGCAACATTAGTTTTATTATCACATAAAAGCTAAACACAGTTATTTTGGAGCAGAAACAGAATTGATCTTATATTTGAATATCAAGCAAATAAAATGGTAAGTAGTCATGCAGAAGGTTGCTCTACCGTTAACTACCTAATCATAATCTTACTATGCAACTTGGAATTTTTGATCAGTTATTTCCAAACATTCGTTACTGAAAACATTGACCTGATTTCTTATAATATGGAGTTTTTGACATGAGACACAACCCAGTAGCAGCTGATTATATTAAAAAAATTATTTTCTTAGTTATTTCTAATATGTTTGAAAAAATATTTTCTTTCTGGAAACAGTCCACTGTGGGCCAAGAAGAAAAACACCTCTATAGATTTTCATTCTGCTCTTCAGAAATACAGAATATCCTACTGAATTTTGATTTTTATGGGGCTAGCAATATTCATTTACCTTTTATTGGGAAACTATACAATTTTCATAAGTATACTTGGTTTTATTATTATAGAAAATGTAGTCATCTTTGTTGATTTTTCTTTTCTTATTCTTAGACTAAAAGAAATTTATTTTGAAATATACATCAATGTAAGAATGAATTGTAATTATTTCTTAAAATTATAGTGGCTTAACTATAGAGCAATGAATAAACTATAGCTATACAAAACAGGAATGATGTAGATAAAGGTAAAGCAATTTTGGGCTAAGGAAGTGATATAAAACAATTGAATATAATTCTATATAAAGTTTAAAAACATGTAAAATCTAATCATAATATTTGGGGGTATGTAGGTTGGTGGTAACACTACAACAGAAAACAAGGAATAGTAGTGGTGGAAGTGGACATCCTTTTCTTGTACCAGGTTTTAGAAGAAAAAATTTCAGTCTTTCACCACTGAACATGATGTTAGCTCTGGGTTTATCATATGTGGCCTTTATTATGTTGAGGTATATTTCTTCTACTCCCAGTTTTTAGAGGGATTTTAACAGAAATTGATGCTGAATCTTATGAGATGCTTTCTTTGCATCTGTTTATATGATTACATAACTTTTACCTTTCCTTTTGTTGATGTAGTGAATAACATTAATCAATTTTTGAACATTGAACCATCCTTGTATTCCTGTTCATTTTCAGCATTATATTCAAGTATTGAAAGTCTTGCTAGCAAAATTATATGAGAAATATGTAAAAAGAATCCAAACAGGGGAAGGAGAAATAAAACTATCACTATTAGTTGATGGCATGATAGTATACACAGAAAACCCTAAAGACTCAATTAAAAAAATAACTGAAATGAAACAATAAATCAGTACAATAATGTGGCAGGATACAACAGTTTGTAAAATAATTTATATGAAAACAATGGTGTATGAGAAAAATAAATCTAGAAATCAATCCCATTACAATTAGATTAAAATGAATTAAATATCTAGGAGTAAAAGTAATAAAGGAGGTGAAGGACCTGTATAATAAAAACTATAAGACATTGTCAAAAGAAAGAAGATCCAAAAAAATAAAAGCTATTCCCTGCTTATGGAGTAAAAGAATTAACTTGTTAAAATAGTCAACTTACCCAAAGCAATACAGATTCAATGCAATCCACAACAAAGTTTCAATGACATCCTTAAAGAAAACCAGAACAAATATTATTGAAATTCTTATGGAACCACAAAAACCCCAAATAACCAAAGTGATCCAGACAAAAAAAGAAGAGTGGTATCATACTCCAAGACTTAAACTATATTGCAGAGATAATAATCAGACAGTATGATACTGGAATTAAAAAAAAAATGGAATATAATCGCGAGTCCAAAAATACATCCACACTTTTATAGACTATCTATGGCAGAGAAGCCAAGTATATACATGGAGAAGGAAAATGTCTTCAACAAATGGTGTTGGGAAAACTGCGGTGCCTAGTATCCAGTGATGCTTATAATCAGGTTTATTACTTAATATATGAACAAATAAATATATGCTGAAAACACAATCTATCTATCCAACTAAGGCTTCATCCCTAAATAGCAGTCTCCAGTTTCTAAATGCTGATTTGAGATTGCTGTTTTAATTTCTTTTTTTTTTTAAAGATTTATTTATTTAATTAAACAAGAACTAAGGTACAGGTCAGAAGCGCCGGAGGGTGAGAGAATTCACCGCAGACAGACCGGGGAGCAGAACAGGCAGATGGACTGAAGACACTGTTGAGGGGAGAAGAGGGCAAGGCAGGAGAGGTCTGTCCCACCATGTGGGTTTCTCCCTGGCTAGTGGGGAATCAAACCGGCTTTGCAGAGGCTGCAGACAGCTTTGGAGCACGGTGCTCAACCGCTGCGCCACCAGGGAGGCCCGCTGTTTTAATTTCTAATGATTATACCAAACACAAGTAGGCTAGAACATAATTCTTATTTTACCATCTCAAATAACAGTATTGTAATTTACTCAGTTGTTCAATTTACAATAAAAAAATAATCACTGTTTAGTTTATTTTCTTCTTATACTTTCTACATGTAACTTATAGTACAATTCACCAGCAAATACCATTGGTTTTATCATTAAAAGATATCTTGAATCTGGACACTTATCTCCACCCTCATCAAATCTCTTTAGAATTGAAGCAATTCTCTTCATCAACATGGAAAACCACAATCTCATTTAAACCAACACTGTCTCTTGCTTGATATCCGCAGGCACACCTCTTTATTGATTTGATTATACTCTCACCCCATCCTTCTGAGGTCTAGTCTTTAGAGAGACATAGCAATCTTGAAAAACTATACTAAAATAGTAAAATTTAATAATAAAATTTTACATGTTCCCCCGAAAGGAAGGTGAGTCACAAGCTTGACCAGCTGCACTGCTTCTATTCAACATGCCTATTGAGTCATTATTAATCCAATAAAACCAGAGAGGGAGACATGTATAAATAATGGCAAGGAAGATAGGAGAGATACTTATCTTCAAATATGATTTTCTACAAAGAAAATCACATACGATTAGTGGGAAAAAGAGCATTATTCATGTAAATACTCATGGCAAAAATTGTTAGTTATCTCCTACTCACTGTTCTCTACCTTTTACATAATCAAAAATACTGGTTTGGGTCCATGATGAACCCTGTAAAGATAAGATTTTCCAATATGTCTTATAGCTAGGATGGCTACGTGGCCAAGTTTGTTCTAGTGAAAAAAAAGATACAAAGAAAAGGGGTATGTGCAATTTCTGGGTTCTGTTTTATTGAGAAGAAAACATCCTTCTCTTTGTCCTTTCTCTTTCCTAGTTGGAATGCATATATGATGGCAGAGACTGAAGTACTTATCTTGGTATAAGATGCAAGCTGAGGATGTCTGAAAAATCATACAGGAAATTCGTGGACCTCTGAACTCTTAGAGTAAAGCTACTCTCCCAACTCATATATTGATTAATACCTTGTAGTTTTGATATATCTATGCTTGCAGGCAGTTTTATATACTACAATAATATATCAGTAAAAAATTTGGGCAAATGTTAGCATTATTTTATAATTGCTTTAACATAATTCCTTTTTTATATAAATAAAATCCTTAAGGTAAAATTGATGCCTCCCATATATTCCTGACCATCTCATTCCCTTCCTCTTAGGTTACCATTATCATGTACTGTGTCTGTATCAGGGACATAATTTATATTTTTATTAAATACTAAAATATCCACAAACTACATAAAATATGCGGTGTTTGTTTTTAAGTTTCTTTAATGTTTCATATAAATATGCAATATTCTATAACTTAATTTCACTTAATAGTGTTTTCAAAATCCTAATCATATTATTATATAGTAATCATATTCATAGATAATAATGTTTTATAGTATATTACTGATTGTACTACCACAATTTCTTTATTGAGACCATGCATTTTTGTGTTATTTTGTTCAATGGCACATGGAAAATAGTAGGCATTTAATAAAAATTTTTTTGGTAGGTGGAATAATTCACCCCTGATTATGGGCATTTGATTTACTCCCAAGTTTTTGTCATTACAAATAAGTCATCTGTGAATGCATTGGAGCATGACTCTGTACTCAAAATAACTGTGAGACTTCTTTAGGAACTACATTCTGAAAGACAACTCATCATTTGAAGGGGATGAGAAGCCTCACCTTTTCTTTTTTAATGAAAAGCTTTATTCATTTAATTTGTCAAGAAAAACAACCACCAAAACAAAACATCCACCACCATCCACTACATTCTTTTTACCCTTACGCCACCTACCCATCCTCTTCATCTTTGGCAACCTCCGTCTTGTCAAATTAGTCTCCAAATTTTATGGGAAGTCCCTGTTACCATATCTTCAATAACACTTGATATTGACCAACTTGTTTCAGCTCTAATGGAATAAATCTGTATCTTTTGACTGTGTTTGATTGAATTTCCTTACTTATTTATGAAATTGAGTTCTACCTATCTTCAGATTCACTTACAACCAAGTGAAAAAATTAGATAAAATTAAGATCATGCATCTTTTTCTAAATATATTGGGCATTTAAATGTAGTTTGTGAGTCATGCATATATCTTTGCCCAGCTTTTATCAGACTCCTTTTCTTATTCTTATTGACATGTAATATCATATTAATTGAATATTAATCCTTTCCTGCTATTGAGAAAATTTTTTTCCTTTGCTTAAGCATGTTTTCTCTCTTAGAAGCTCAAAATTTTGAGTCTCATTTTTAAGTCCTTATCATAATGATTTATTAATTAGTTTTTAGTTAAGAAACTCCTTGCAAATGCATATATTCTAGATGTATACATTTGAGATTGATCTTAGGGTGAATATGCAAAGGGTAAAGACGTATTTCTGAATAAATGGCCCTTTCCTTATATGTAAATGTTAAATGAACTGGTAGGGTGGACAGTGTTGGTACCATGAACAGAGCTCTCAGGCTCCTATTTACTAATCCTGTGTTTGTTCTTTGTTCCTAACATCCCACATATGCAACGCTCTCTGGAAAACTCTGCACAGGATTACTTGGTGTGCTTCAGCTTTGATTGTACACACAGTCAATAGCGTATGAGACATTACCCACCATTTCCTTGTCTCTACTGTTTTCCCCAATTGCCTTCAAGTTTCTTTCAGAAACACTTCATCAATGAGTATATGAGCTGAATTACGTTCCTCCAACATTTATATATTGAAGTCCTACCCGCAGAGTTTCAGGGGGCAACTGCTTTTGGAAATACGGTCTTCAAGGAAGTAATTAGGGTAAAATGAGGTCATGGGGGAAGCCTAATCCAAAATGACTGATATCCTTATAAAAAGAGGAAATTAGGATACAAGAATACACAGAGAGAAGACCAGGTGAAGACACAGGGAGAAGGCAGCCATCCACCTGCTAAGGAGAGAAGCCTCGAAAGAAACCAACCCTGCCAATCTCCTGATCTGTGACTTTTAGCCTCTAGAATTATGAGGAAATAAATTTTTTGTGTTTAAAACACTAAGGGCATGGTTACTTGTTATGGCAGCCCAAGCAAACTAATACAATAAATAACCTGCAATGAGCCCTCATCTAATGTTCTTCTGCACGTGACTTTATGCTTTTAAAAGTACTGTGCTATTATTAAAAAAAAGACTCAAAACTTGTTTATGTGTATGTTTTGATTTACAGACTACCTTCTTAGAAAAATATGTTTGATTTACAGACTATCTTACAGACTACCTTCTTAGTATAAAATGTGACTAAGTATGATTCTTAATGTTTATTATCTTTTCCCTAAAATGAAGAAATTTAGGTATTTTAAAATGTTGTGATGCTTATAATATTTATCGTGGAAATTCAGATTTGTAACTTTATCAGCACATGATTGTGATGTTTCCATCACAATTTTATATGTCTCTACTCAGGATACATTAATCATTTAATTCAAAATATACAAAACTGACTTAAGAATGTTGCTATAAAATAGCTAACCGTCTCTTGTAAAAAGCAATGGTAGTTTTAAAAGCAATGTAATATACAAAGTGTGTAATCATGGGATTTTTATGCAAATATCCCAGACCCAAATAGACTTTTCAAAGTTCCTAATTTTAAATCAAAGGTATAGCGATACTACAGAACCGTTTTTTTCCTCAGTGTCACAGTTGAGGCAGTGGTTCTCATAATCCACCATTTTGCTTCATTCAGGGGCACAAGAATTGAGCAATGAGTAAAGATAACCATGGGACAAGATGCTATTCATGTCTATAGTGTAATCTATCTCCTGCTGCTTTTGCTTATTACTGCCCTGGCTTCATTTTACTTCCCTTTGGAATGTGCATGCAGCTTGGCCAGGGTAGTAGAATTATTACTAAAATCAGTCCCAATGCTGCTTGACCAATGAATAAGACCTTGATGATTCCTTGATCCCTGTTTGGATTTATACATTTTATCAATTGTTAATGTGGCCTCTGCCTGACATTTCCCACCCTCCACCATTATATCTCCTTAGAAAAACGAAATGCAAGTACTTCAAGTACTAGAATGGAATGGAAATGCTGTCATTCTTTCCGTCCTTATATGTTATTTTTCCTTTCTCAAATCCACCAAATAGAAACTATTATTTATAATCAATTATTGGAATATTATACCATTTTGACTGAATACATTGAATTTG